TTAATACAAAGAGTTATGTGTTTTGTTTTGAGCAATATGCATACTAAGTGAGAGTGACGCTTACGAAGTTCTATTTCTCTTTATTTTCAACCTTAAATGTTCACTTTGTCCCTTTTTAACCCCTGAAGCTGAGGACAAAAACATGGTTCTATCCTTAAAAATAGTGGAAAAAGATTAAAAGAGCTTTGCTCATCAATAACACGAGCAGCTCAGAGGGAAACGCGAGCCACCCTGGAGAGTCATGATCCATAACCGTCATAAAGCAGGTTATGTAAACAGCTTCAGAAAGACCCTAATCATGGAGCTGGAGGAAGTTACAAAAACTCATTCCTTCTTTCACATGTTTGGCTGTGTAAGAGGGGCCTGAGAAGATGAATGGAGCTATTAATTGAGGAAGCGTCAATGGAAACTCTGATTTATGAGGGTGAAATTCTGTGTGTGGTATGTTGCCCCGTGCCTTTTTGTACCTTCGCAATGTTGGAGACGAGACCTCACTATACTTGTTTCCCTGTCTCACTGTCTGTGGAATAGTTGCCGCCCCTCCTCCCGAAACAATCGGATTGGTTCTCAGGTTGTCCATCTCTGAGGCCACGCCCTTCTCTTTGTCCGTCTGATTGGCTTGGATTATGTGCCCGTTGGTTTTAGTGGCAGAATCTTTTGGTTTGCTGGCCGTGACAGCAGTAAGGACAGGTGTTCGGGAACTCAAGCTTGACTCAATGCTGCTAGTGGACGATCGGTTTCCGTTGCGGGCCGTGGCTCCGGAACGAGAGGGTCGAGGTAGACTTCGGTACTGCAGTGTTGAACGAGCACTGGGGGACAGGTAGCCATCCTCCTGAGGAGGCAATAAACCATCCACAGCTCCTTTTAATGACCCTCTCCCACCGACCAGAAGGGCGGAGGACTTGGGAATCTTGCCCAGGGTGGCGGAGCCGCTGGTAATGGTGGCGCCGCTTGCTGTCACCAGAGTGATGCTGGAGGTGGTTACCACATTGGCCGGGCCATGGACGCCGTTGGGCTTCTTGAAACCAAATGTGCTTGTGGGGACTCGGCCTGCGGGTGTTTTCTTGGCTTCGTCTCCGCTGCTTCGACCGGCGTCGGAGGAGGAATGCTGGACGATGTTGGAATTGGGAGACATGCGGCCTTTTTCAGAGACTTTAGCGTCATCTGTTTTACCTATTGTTGATAATGCATAAAACTTGCAGATAAAGTCAACACTGTTTTGTAGGATGTCAATGTGTGATTAAATGAAACTAGGCTGCATGACTTGTAGGAAAAATCGAATTGCTGGGGCTGCTCAGTCTGGTCATTTTTTAATTGTTTATCCATATGACTATACAACAACAAAAATAACAACAATAATAATTGTAATAATTTATACATAATTTATTGAATTATAAATAATTTAATTTGAATAATTTTAAATTATTTATTTATTTAAGAAAAAGTATTTTACAGTCCAACAGATAAAAAAAGTGTGATTGTGATTTAAAGGAAAAAAAAAAAACTTTTTGTTTAAAGAAAACAATTTAAAGTACAACTGTAAAATTAAATTGCTAATAATTACAATACTAAAATACAATAACTACATAATATACTATATATAATATAATAATATAATAATATTATAAAATATAATAAAATAATTTTCAAATGTTAATACATTTTTTAATTTCTAAAATTATGATTTTTTTTTTTCAAACATTAAACCATCAAGCTTTTATTTTGGCAGAACACCATTGAGTCCTTAAAGGGTTATAGTTCACCCAAAAATGAAAATGAGCCCATAAATTACTCACCCTCAAGTCATCCTAGGTGTATATGACTTTCTTCTTTCAGACGAATCCAGTCGGAGTTATATTAAAAATTGTCTTTGATCTTTCAAGCTGTTTAATGGAACTCAGCGGGTGTTTCATGCATCAGTCCAAAAGAAGTGAAATAAAAAGCGCGGCTCCGGGGGGTGAACAAATGCCTTCTGTAGCGAATCAATGCGAAAGTACAACTGTAAAATTAAATTGCTAATAATTACAATACTAAAATACAATAACTACATAATATACTATATATAATATAATAATATAATAATATTATAAAATATAATAAAATAATTTTCAAATGTTAATACATTTTTTAATTTCTAAAATTATGATTTTTTTTTTTCAAACATTAAACCATCAAGCTTTTATTTTGGCAGAACACCATTGAGTCCTTAAAGGGTTATAGTTCACCCAAAAATGAAAATGAGCCCATAAATTACTCACCCTCAAGTCATCCTAGGTGTATATGACTTTCTTCTTTCAGACGAATCCAGTCGGAGTTATATTAAAAATTGTCTTTGATCTTT